TATCGATAAAGGAAACCCTAATTTAAATCAAAGTAATACAATTGAAATTCTTGACGTGTATCCGTTCAGTAGAAAAAATGGATAAAAAACGCTCTATCTATTTTCTTATTCCAAATTTAATTTCCCTTATTTTACGTAGACAATATTTGATTATAATTAAACCTGTAGATCCGCTGGCATATTAAAAAATATATTATAATGCATAAAAATGTGTATTTGACATGTATATACGTGATCTTCGTGTATAGCAAGTTTCCGACTACCCAGAGGACGGAAAAAATGGCCTGTATCCCGGCTAGGAATCGAAATGTGTTTTCTTATCAGGCATCTCTTCCTCATACGATTTCCGTAGAAATACCGATTGGCAAAGCCAATATCCTTACGTTTCACCAGGAGACTCAGGAGCCGCGACCAGCATCGCGGAATAGTATCAGTAAATCGAGGAATTCTCCGTTTAAGAGATACGAGCTGGCTGTACGTCGGGCAAGCGACCAAAGAACAATAACGCCGAGAATTTTTACTTCCGGCCGGATGCATGCCACCGGCTACGGTGCTGGTGAATTTACATTTTCGTTGGCTGCGCATCGAATCATGCGTCTCTTCCTTTTTCTTCTTTTCCTTTTTTTCCCGGCGCTCGCGAACAACGCGCGCACGCGGTCCCACGATTTGCCTGTATTGAAGCGTAAAAACCGACAGTCGTATGCGCGCATGACCAATGCACGCGCGACTGCTCGACGAAATTCCAAATAAACCGTCGCTGGAATCCCGATGAGATACGTGTGAGAAAAACAGATATTCTGTACAATTATATTATTAAGATGCGCGGGCCTGTGTTTCATTTACACAAATGATGACAGGCGCCGTAAGCTTTTTGCGCGATGGCGCGCAAATGTGGAGTTAAATCAGAATTATGTTTTCGCGGAAACAGATAATCGATATAAAGACGAGATACGGACCGTAACGTGTGTAAGTTGCGAATAAACTTTGTTGGATATATGTATAACATTGGACATTGACGATTGTTGCATTAATGTTATTAGTGATTCGCAATGGCTACCCCGAAAGGAAAATATTTGAAGAATTATGTGGCAAAATCTGGATGAAACTTGGAACGCTGGAATTATGCGTACACTGATAAAAAAATATATTACTTTACTCAAGAAAAGTATTCATTAGGTGGCTCCTAATATTTTTCTTTAAATAGAATAAATATTTACCTTAGTATAAAAAAACGATTTAAGTAAATCTATTTACTTAATTAAAAAACTTTTTTCGTCAGTGTACATGTTTCGGATAACATATGCAGAAATAGAGACCTTTCGTCAAATATTGATAAAGATTTGCACAATGTATTTCTAAACAGTATGTCAGCAAAACAGTCGCGTTTTAGCGAATCACCTCGGCTGAATATCTGCACAATTAAATTGCTGTCGTGTTACGACGAGCTGCCGCTACGAGGCGTCTCATACTCGTGAGTAAAAATTCACGCGAGACGAGATTAAGGCCTAGCGGTAAACACGTCCCAAGCTAAATCTCTTTTAAACATTTATCACACGTAACTGTGTTGCTGTGCAATTTTGCTTCTAAATGTCGAAATAATTGTGCATGATTTATCCCCGAGATTGAGATTATCAATTTTTGGGCAAATACCATTTAGAAATTTTATCCCTACAAAACCGCTGAGTTTTGGCGAATCACCTTAATGCAATCATTGTAAAATTTCCTCTTTTTGGACGATGCAATTATTACACAATATTTGAGACATTTTCCTATCGTGGTATAAAGTGTATTAAGATAATAGAAGTATTAATGAATTTTGTTAAAAAACAAAACTTTTAAAGAAATTAATTTGAAAATGTATCAGTAATAATCTCTACCTAACTGTAATTTAGAAGCGTTGAATTAATAAAAGCAGCTGTTAAATTAAATTTTCATGTAACGTCACAGACTAGCTTCCCTGATATACATCAATGAATACTTTAAGGAACAAAAGAAAGTTTCTCAGCGAGGTATCATATTATATCGATGCGCAGTAAAAAAAAAGTTGGAATTTTAATATCTTGACTAAGCGGTTATTTTGCTTGGCCGGTGTGCCTTGATTCGCGAGAATGAACGATTGATCTTTACGACGCCGGCGAGTAAAAGGAAGCTATAAAAATCTCGTTGCAGTATCGATGAGGATTAAATATCGCGAATTTTTCTTCGATAATACGCAGGAGCTCACCTCGACGGGCGATCCAGAAGACCAGAAAAATGTAGAAATACGTTAAACACGATAAAATTTTTTCGCGCGTAAATGTACCCGTTAACGACGTCAAGCGCAACTTCAGAGAGATTGCGAAATAATTCGGATTCCCTGGCAATGAATGCAAAATTATATCAAACGAAGTTCAAAGCGATATAAAATATCCCGCCTTGTTCCGTCCCGGAGATAAAAAAAGATCTTTGTAATTTATACGCTCATTTCAATTTAAATTGAAATTAGGACTTTTATTTTGTATCTCAAAAAAATTACAAAATTAATGTAAAATTAAATTCCTCTCTATCTCTCCCTCCCCTCCCCCTCTCTCTGCATAGTATATAATACTGCTACTATACGCCTTTACGTTTACTGGTAGCATCTACGATCGATTGCTCTCTCACGATTTCTGTTGCACGTAAAATTATGACGTATGCCGTTACAATAAATGGAGAAACAACTATTTACCAAAACGAAAAGCCATACTGCAGCCACGCCAGCAGTAATTGATCAATGTAGCGCCACAACAATTCGATATACGTGTAAACCTGAACATGATAAGCGGTGGACAGAACGATCGTAGGATAACACATAACGCTGATCCCGGTGAGTAGGCACGAGGGTTGGTTTAAGTGCGTGTTTAGCGGTTGCGATCCCCGATGGCCTTTTCCATGGGACACTAAAGGGCACTAAGGGGCAGTATAAGGCTCGTAAGGAGGAGTGGTAGTAGTGAGAGGTAAACCGTTGCACGTACTCAGACCACAATATAAAATCACTACGCGTAAGCGCCCGACAAAGTATTGTCCGGTTCGATCGTCAACGTGCTTCAATACGAAAATATCTTCACATAAGTAATAGAATGCAAAATCGAAAAATATTTTTTTATTCAGACAGTTAATCCTATGGCATATTAAAAAGTTAAGATTATTTTTGCTTGTTCAGAATACTTATTAGATTATGTCATCATTAATATTAAAACGCTGAAACTTTTAACACTTTGGATATTATATTAGAAATGAGTGACGCAGTTGACAGTTAATCAACGAAATGATAGAAAAATATGCCGAGTTCAATCGAAGTTGCCGCGAAAATAGATTTTTATTTTGAACAGCCGGCAATAATTTTAGTTTCAAGAAACAAAGTTACACGTCATAGTTTTAACGGATGACAAGTGGGAACGAAAAATATTCTATATTAAATTGTACGTAAAATTATATTAAATTTATCACGATGAAATAAATAATTTTGAAACAGCGTGTGTAAAAAGAAAACGAGATGCATCTTAAACACACCGAGAGAGTGCCTCGCTGGTACGATCGAATTCTTCAATTTGAGACTCGGGGAAACGAGATGACGACTATTCGAGTGGTGCGACATATAGTGTGAGACGAGCTGGCGCGGATCCAGAAAGTGCCAATTCAATCTTACTTCCTTTTCCGGATGTAAAATTTCAGGTAGCCGCGTCGAACTTCCGACTTCCGTTGCTCGTTCCGACTACTGTAGCGTCGCGAGTGTATGTTTCTGGTTCATTTACGAATACGAACGACATTGTAATAACACGGTTGCCGAATTGTTTAACAGCTTGGCGTATTTCCGCTTTCTTATACATCTTTCAGAACGAGTTAGATCGGATTAGACTTGAAAACCTTCGAAATACGCGAGAAACGTTGCGGATGACTAAAGAAACTCATTCTTTCATGACCATGACGATGAAAAATAAAATATATCCATGCTCTCCTTGTCGTTTCTATATAGAGAATAGTATTATCGCGTTCGTTAACGATGCAATTTTAATTAATCGTGGTACGAGGAGTAATACTGGTGTCAAGTAATTTAAACAATCAAATTTCTTGACTAAAAAATGGCCGATATTATCATATTCATTAACGACGATGCAACTTTAATTAATCGTAGAGCGAGGGAAAATGAGGATATCAAGTAATTTAGACAAACAAATTACTTGAAATCCTGATTTACGTAAGTCTGAACTTTTGAACGTTATTGACAACTAGCTCCGTTCGAATAACCATTATCAGTTTAGCAATTGATAATGATTACCAATTCAATCTGTTTGTTGCTCGCAACACAAAGACATATTAAATATAATATTCGACATATACATCCGTAGTGCCATTAATTTATTCCGCGTACGATAGCAGCTGAGTGAGACGAGTGCGCCAGATGAGAAAATTATTCAAGATCCTCGAAGATATGTATTCCTCTTCGGCCTCGATTTTTCTCTAGCATCCCGCGCTTCGAATTTAATGAGGTCCTTTATTGATGAATGACATTTATCAAAGTATCTCAGTATCATCGAACCACGTGATCTAACGATATCACGTACTCATAATTCTCTGCTAACTTGGTTTTTCAGCGGAGATTGAATTTAGAAAATTACGAAACGGAAAGTAAAAGGATAACGCCGGTCTTTAAAATTTTAATTAAAAGTCGACTGAACAAAATATTGATGTTTAATATTTATCCGAAAACTGTACTGCCCGCTCGTTTTAATAAAATTGATTAAATTTTTAATCTTCGATATTAATGTAGACTGGTGTGTATACGGCCGTAGATATTATTGATTTATTAACTCTTATTAGTTGTTGAGCGAGTAAATAATATCTTTGTTTTCCCTATTAATATATATTAATACCATCCTCGAATGTGGTCAAATTAGTAAAAGTAATAACTACACGTTACGTATAAATGAATGCTACAATATAACAAAGCGCGATAACATGTTATTCATTCATGTACGTACCTTAAATGATCCAAGATCTTTCACACTGCACGCCAGTTTAACATTTCGTCCCGCTGGTACGGTAATATTTCCTATTTCGTCGACGAATTCGGGATCAGGGATGGTGGTAACTGAAACAATAATAATTAGCATATAAGGTATCTGAGGGAGATAAGTTTTTCTAAAAATTGAAATCTACAGCAGTAGATGCACATTATAGTAATATACAGTACATGTACGTGTACTGTACTAAAATTGCGAGAAAATTTTTGAACTAGCGTACAATAATTAGCCAAACTCTGTATACATTTAATTACAATTACCTCACGAGTAATGAAACAAAATTATACACATAAATGCTCAAATCATATTTCATCCCCCGCGGTACTGCTTCGCGGCATATTGTTTGTACAGAGACGGAACATTACGCCACATGAAATTTTAATTAAATTTTAATACGGTTGAAACGGGAAGTCCAATATGTGTAACGCCACAATGCGACAAAATCTTGCGCTAAATTTACCTGACAAATATGAGACAGTTTTGGGATCTGTCAGACATCGTCGGGCTTCGGAAGACGGGCAAACTCGATCGACAAAATCCGATACAAAGTTCGACGGCGGAATTTTTTGAAATCACAACGTCAGTGAGTTTCCACGAGTGCGCCAGGGGGAGCATATACTATCCGTACATCCCCCGACGTTGCTTTACTTCGGGAAAGGAGATCGATCGATCTAGGGGCGGTGTACGCGTGGCTGCGTGGATGCGCTTTGAGTTATAGAAGCTCACCAGTCGGCGTGACAGCTTAGTTATTGAATACAAAATGCAATTTTTCAAGTCTCTACGTACCGCGGTATCCCGCACCAGTGCCAGTCTCCGACCACCGTCTCGAAGAACGCGGCGGCGGTCCTTCGCGTGTGCGGTGATCGAATCTACGAGAGGATTTCGAGATGCTTATATGGAGATCGAGCTCCCACCCCATCTGTCCCGGCGCTCGCATTTCTCCATCCCGCGTGATGTTACTTCATGCGTGAGGCTCGCATTTGCGTAAAAGCGCCACGCGTACTACGCGAATTCGTAACCGATATCTCGCGAAAACGAGTTTATACACGCGATATCATTTTCTTGCTGTCTATGTACTAGTGTCAAATTAGATGTACAACAACTTCCATTTATCATTTTCGGATGCGAGTTACTTTGCTCGTATGTATATACTTTGTCGGAACGTTTTAGATTCAATCATCGCTGTAATCCTACACAAATGTTGCACTTTCAACATCCAAACGCTAGAAGTGGCTGTCAAAGTCTATAATCGCACCTTTATTTTATTTAATACACGTCATTCAGATGTTATTATCAATTTCAAGAAAATTAATAAAACACGTGGCTAGCAATAGAATAAGAAAAAGTTAAAAATCTATATAAAACCTACGTACTTCAAGTTGTTTCCGCAAAAGTACAACTTTAAACTTTAAATCCGATTTTATTAATAACGTATATCTGGTTACAATTCACGCCCGTCTACTGTGTGCAAACAAGGGGTATAAAAGGGATAAAGCAAAAATTTATATTCCAGAAACAAATTTATTAAGATAAAATAAAAAAATAATGCAACAAACATAAAGTATAACGATGTATAACAGACTTAAATAGAGAGAAATATGAAAGAAGAGCACGGTGAAAACTAAGAAATTACATGTGCCAAGTGAAAAGGAAAAAAAAAGTAAATGAAAGAAAAGGCTGTACCAAGGAGAAAAAAAGAGGGAGAAAACTTATCAAATTGAATCTATCTTGAGGAGATTATCAGTTTTTTTAGCGTGTCGTTTTATAGGTCCTTTTTTTTTGTAAAGGGGTAAATTCGGACGAGGCAGTTTCAACGTTCGTGTGTGATGACTTTTAAGGGTGAATCGAGGTGACTCCCACTTGCCGAGTAACCAAAGTGTACGCTGCTAGAAAATTCTCTTTGGTCCGCTGCCATCGACTTTACTATCTACGGATTCTGGCGGCCGTGCGGTAACACGCGTGTGTGGTTTCCGACTGTAGAGAGACTACATTCTCCGTACTCTCGCTACTGAGTCCTTTCCACCCGTACGTCGTCTGCAATTGCATTGCACGAAATGGACCGTGTGGACGGAAGATCCTTAAAGTCAAAAATCTCTTGTCGGACCGTCGCTCGGGCGTGACGTCGATATTTATATACCTCGATCAGCGGTTCTTAAGTAGGGCGCGCAGGCTTTTGCGAAAGCAGCACACAGTTTATAGACTTAACACTAGGTTTCTCTAATTAACAATGTACATTCATCTTTTGCTGAATATATCTAATTACCAGGGATGCCATTAAATAACCATCATTTTTTCTTACGAGACTGCCATCGCCACGTAATGTCCTCATCTATCTGTTTTCAGTTTTCCTACGATAACTGCACGAACAACGTAGAATCAAATTTAAATAGAGAACCAGTTACTCTTCTATTTGCACCGACAACGTCCCTTTTGTTCGGAATCTTGCCGTCCATCAAAGTCTTAATTACGCGGGGAAAATAATTTTGACGAGAGCAACTTCCGTGGTACGATAATTGATACGGCATCGAGGCATTGACCGATGCCTCGAATGAAGCTGTGTCGCTATAATGAGTCCGACGAGTGACACGGCCGCAAGCCAACCGCGTCGCGAAAAAGACTATTTTTTCTTTGCGACCTCTCACAAACGTGGCGCGGCGCAGTGGGGATAAGAAGCCAGGAGATCAGCAACTTCCGCCGTATTATTTGCGGAAACTTTAACCACGACGTGTAATTGGAACGGACTCTCACTTGCGCCGCGAGAGCCTAAAGGAGGAGTAACTTACAGAGCGGCACAAAAGCGTGCTTATACGCGCGTTATACACACGTATACACACATACGAGAACGTCGTCGGGTGGTTTTCATGTGACGGAGGTGATTAAAGAGCGGGAGATCTCTTCATTACGGGTCGAGTGCCCGCGCGAATTTTAATTAATATCTACGGCAAGTCACGTGTCGCGCGCCTCAGTACTCGTACTACCCATCAATCCTAAGAATTTCGACCTGGTAATAATCGCTTTGATTCACTAATTATGTAAATCCGACATAAGAATATTTTATTACATTTCTATATTTTCCTGTTACTTTTCCATCGTAAAATTGATAAGATGCCTTCGCCTCCATGAAACGTCTTCGTTATAGAAAGATTAATTTATAGAGATTTTAAGAAATTAATTTTTCTTGCATAATATATGGAAAAATAATAAATGTCAATTGATATTTACGTCGAATTTATGGAAAAGATATGTATTTACGTGATTAACGATCGACATTAATATAGATCTGTATGCTTTTCCAAAGGAAAAATAATGTAACTTTTTAAATAGAATAAAGAGGTCGGCATTTCCATTAAGCATAAATTTTAATTAAACGACGTGCTATATTATACTCATTCTACCGTATCAAAGAGTCACATGATTAAAAAAAATACATATACAATAATGTATTTACTTTGAAATATAATGGAGATAGGAAATAATTTTTTTCTTTTAGTATTAACACATTATAATTATTAAAATGAAATTTGTAAGTTGAAACGATAGCACATAGAATCAATCAATCCTCTTAGATATCTTCGTAGAAGTAGGGGAGAAAATAGAGAAAGGAATCTTAAGGTTTTTGTATTCGCGACACCACATTTGCGAGAAATTGCTGACTGGCCAATCTTGTTATTGGACGTTGATTTATTATTTCCGGAAAGAGAGTAATGGAATTATGCTTCCAGAATTATATAGCTCTTATCTTACAACCCATGATCTTGCGGCTAAAAGTCTAGGCCGTTTTTTAGAATAAAGGAGGGACGAACTTGAAGGAATTTGCATAAGAAAGAGTAACTCTTGACACTCGCGTGACTGAACTTTTACAGGATGCACGAAGCAATTTAAAGCATTTTCGCTACAAATCAAATTTCTAAGACGAATCAAGATCTTACGTGCCATCGGATTTAAAGACGTCACAGTTCTCTTATCTCGTATGTTGGCTTGCATCGCGAAATTTTTGGGTAACGTCATCTAAATCTTTTTCTACGAGCACCCCAATGTTTTTACCGTCGCTATTTTATTGCTAAAATTTCCGTTTCACATATGTAAGAAGCGATAATCTGGATAATATCGAGGAATTCACTTGAGTACCGGTAATGTCGAGTAAATCTCAAAGACCGCACTTATCTCAAGAGTGTCTCGCGGTGACTAGTATAAGAGGGCACCGTGAAAGTCTACCTTATACTCCACCGCAACAACGTGCACGGCGCTTCGAGCAAAGGGTCTCGTGAAGAAGTGCCAGGAGCAACAGTTTATGTCAATTTTCCGCTTCATGTACTTCATGCCGCACTCTTCGCGAAAAAGCAAGCGCGACGCGGCGGCAGTAGGGAGCATACCGTTGTGGAAATATTGCTGTTCTAAACGCGAAAGACGATACGTAATTTAGTACGGGGTGGGGAGGATGATCTTTGTACAAGATCTCATGTGATGTCCTATGCGTAACTGTATTTTACTTACAATAGCAATTTCGTCTCCTTATCTCCTTACGATTACCGTTACCGATAATACGATATCTATGCACCCTCAGAAAGGATTTCCGTTACCGAGACAAAATATATTCTTGACGCATTTATGTTTCACACGACCTCATTTAGTATAAAAATAAGACAATATCAAAATAAAATCAATAATTCTTATTCTCCCCTATCGAATTAAAAAAGATTGACTTACTATATTGAGACGAGAGTAACTTGTATAAATGTAAGTTTATATATTCTTGCGTTAAGAATAAATTGTCCCTCCATCTTACAATACACGAAGTTGACACCACAATGTTCGACAAAAGACGATTCCAGATTTTAGAATTTTGCATTTAAGATTAAAATTTATTTATTATAGATTAAAATAAAAATAAGACAATATCAAAATAAAATCAATAATTCTTATGCTCCCCTATCGAATTAAAAAAGATTGACTTGCCATATTCAGACAAGAGTAACTTATATTAATGTAAGTTTATATATTCTTGCGTTTAGAATAAATTGTCCCTCCATCTTACAATACACGAAGTTAGCACCACGATACTCGACAA